TTTGCTGTGGCCCATTTGTCTTAATCCCTGAGGCTAAATTTAAACTGCACTTTACAGGAGCACACTTAAAATATACGCACACTGACTTGTAAAGGCCAACTAAAGCTCTGTAAATACGGGAGCTTTGTCCATAAACTAGATGCTGCAGATCTGGGTCGCTACAACCAAACTAACCGATCGTCTACACAGCAGCGTTAAAAAAATCTTGAAACGCTTCTGCCCATTCACTTTGAATGGGGTGACGTCACTTTCCCTCACTTTTCGCCGAACTGCATTGTGGGCAGGCGAGCGGAGATTTTCAGGATTTTCAGGATTCAAAGTTGAACAATGTTCAACTTTTGAGGCTGAGGTGGAAGCGTCAGCCAATCAAATCCCGTGTACGCAAATCTGACAGTTCAAGCTCTAGCCAATCAAACGGCGTGTATGCTGGGAGAGACATACCGCAGGTCATTTCCTCATATTCCAAAAAATGGAGGAGAAATGAGCGGTAGCGAATCAATCACCCGGTGCTTTATGACCAGTCCCTATTTACCTACCGGGATATAAACCGGAGGAGCCAGGCATGGAGGGAGGTGGCAGAGACAGTGGTAGGTTTTCGCCTGTTTTGGGGAGTTTATATCCAGTTTACTTCGGGCTTTTTTGCTTCGTATGTCGCGGGCGGGAGATTCATGTGATTGGTTGTTCGTGCCTTGCTCGCAAAAAATCCTGCTACTTGGAAATCGAAATAAATAAGAACTCTTAATTTAATTTTGACATTTTATTCAGAGAGGGGTGTATTTCTAACTTCATCTCAACAGAGATCCAGAGTAAGATGTCAGTATTTAGCGTCTCTGTATGGGGTGCAGTGCAGTACAGTCTTGTTGTAGAAATAATAAGTAATCTTGGAGGCAGGCGGTATTGTTTCCTTTGAGCTGGCTTCCTGCTGGACAATCAGTATGAAGCAAATTCCCTGGCAAGGACCCCAGTGATCAGCTCCAAATCTCTCTCTGCAGTAATGTGTCTTAAGGTTATTCACTTAAAAGGGTTGAGATGGCAATATGCTATTCTGGCATCTATTGCAGCCAGTAATGCTTACATTTAAATGCAGTAGATTGCAGCATCAGCCAGAAAACCTAAACCCTAAAGAAAAACAGTATGATGGGGCCATGCATACTAAAGCCCCTTCGCATAACCTGAAAGCAACTTGATTAGCATAGTTTGACCCCCCAAGAAATGTTAACTGTAGGCTAATACTTTAGCAGGCTTAGCTATATCAGCAACAATTTGTTTACATTTTTTTGTTATAGAGGAAGAGCTGATATGGCAACACAGTCTCACGGCATTTCATGTTATAGTCACGAAATTAATCTATTGATTCGTGTTCACCAACACGATTTCGCCATTTTTTTCGTGTCACACAGAACGATTTTAAAAGCAATGTAAATAACAAATTAGAAGGAAAAAGACATTAAAAAAAAATACAGATTTAAGTATTCTGACACAGAACGATTTTAGAAGTAATGTATTTATATTGGTAGTATGTTTCGTGCCTGCAGATTTCAGTATTCTGAGGCTCTGAGCCCCATTTCTTTTCCTCACTGACGGCAAAAAAACTCACACATTATACAATTTCAAATAAAAGGGATAGGGTTAGGCTTAGGGTAAGATATTGAGTAATAACATGTTTTTATGAACCACACAGCTTCTGGTCTTCCAAGACCCGACCGGACAAAAAGACGTGGTGCAGGCACGAAACATACTACCAATAGAAATACATTGCATTTAAAATCGTTCTGTGTGACACGAAAAAAATGTGAAAATCGTGTTGGTGAACACGAATCAATAGATTAAATTAATTTTGTGACTATAACACGAAATGCCGTGAGACTGGGTTGGATATGGAGGCAGTTAGCCTAAATGAAACTTATCTGTAGAAGGATTTAAGCAGGCCTTTTGTCAAAATATATGGTCAACGAATTCAAATTAAAATGACAAATGTTTTTGCTAGCTAAATGCTTGATAGCTTACTAGCTAGTATTCTTCGTGTGAATAGAACTAAAAACAGGGTTCCCGCGGGGTCTTAAAAAGTCTTAAATTTGATAATCTGAATTTAAGGCCTTAAAAAGGTCTTAAAGGAGAGGTGTCATGGCCATTTCCACTGATCATAATTCCATTGTTGAGGTCTACTAAAATAGATTTATACTGTGCATTTTTCCAAACTCACATTGGTTTCTCATACAGCATCTCTGTAAACTACGTGTATTCACTGAATTTCACTATCTGCCTTTAACGGCTCGTTGTAGCTCCAAAAGCTCCAGCCCCCACCCTCCCTGTGAGCACAGTGTGCTCTGATTGGTCGGGACGTTGTGAATCGCGCTGAGCTCCGTGGAGGTGTTGTTTCCTTGTTTAGGATACATAGCGAAACACAGCCAAATTCATCCTGAGCACACACAAACTCACATCCGAAGTAAAAACAATAAGTGTGACTTGATATTGAGTAAGAAAAAGGTTGATAAACGCTGTGAGAATGGGTCTGCAGAGAGAATTTTGCCGCGATCCCAACTGTCTGTTATCAGCCTGCAGCCAGGGAGGAGAAATCAGCAGAGCTGCCTGCTCCCTGCACACAGATGTGTGTGTGAGGAAGTCCGTGGATCGGTCAATTTGGACCAATCAGCGGGGGCTTAACGTAACGGCTCTTCGGGATTGGTCCATTTCGTTCCGGGTACCGCTTGACATCATGCCGTACCCGGAACGAAATGGAAGACTCAAATGGGCAGTGACGTATCTCCAACGAGGCGTTTTGGGGAGGTATTTTCTGTGTTAGAGTTTTACTCGCTACAGGGTGTACTTTGAGGGTTTTGACTCTGCACACCGTTTACATGCATAAAAACCTTCATAACACAAAAGGGGACGGGTAATAACCGGAAAAGCATGACACCTCTCCTTTAAATATGACCAAAAAAAGAAGAAAGGTCTTAAATATGATTTTAGAAGGTCTTAAATGATGGGATTTGAAAGGTACTTCTGTGTTGCGATAGCGTCTAAATGTGTTTTGGCGGAAATGTCCGGGCTGCAAAGTAACCAGTACGGTAATAGCCTTTCAGTTCCCCCCAACAATTTGTATTGATTTAAATCAACATGGAACCAGTAATCAATAACTTTGTTTCCCCCGGCCCCTTATCGGAGAACACCCAGCTAGTAACCTAGCAACCAAGCTAGCGGCAGTCAGAAACTAAGGCATCTTCGAATCTATTTACAAACAAATATGGGGAAGTGTAAGTTCAACCATATTTGGTTGGAAAACATAGAATTTAGTGCTTGGCTGAAACCAGTTGAGGGGAACGTGTTTGAAGCCCGCTGCACCTTTTGCAAAAAAAAATAGCGTTTGTTTTGCTAATGTTGCTAATGTAGCTAATGTAGCGTTAGCTAGTGCAGCAGCGGCTAGATCCCCTTCTGGGTTTTAGTGACGTAATCTGCCACCCAGGACAAGAGACGAGCATATTAAATGTGTTATTTTCGGTTGTGTATTTGTGTTTCCAGGTATAACATTTAAGTTATAACAATCATCATTTGTGGATTAATTTCATTATGGTATTTGAGTTTGTTTCAGATTAACTTTTGTATTTGATGTTGCAATTTAATTTCTCAAAGAGAGACAAAAATCACTAAAACATCTGGTGGATATCTGACCAGTATTTATATATATATCCTAAATGTTCTTTGGTTTTTATCCACAAATGCAACACAAATAAGAACTGTAAGTTATTCTTTAATAATCAAATCATTATTATTGAAATGTAAGTATATTTCACACATTTTAATGTTGTTATAGAGTATGATCTCATTATTTGTTAATGAACCTCATATTTGTGACAAGACGTGCGTGAGCGGAACTCTACTCTATTTAGGGTAAACGTTAAACTTTTAATACAAAAGTTGCCAACTTCTCATCCACGATTACGTCACTTCCGCCGCCTAAAACCCAGGAGGTATACGATCTAGCACTACACACACACACAGACACAGAGACACACACACATTTTGTCTAACCTGCTAACACAGTTCTGTGTACTGTTATGCTGTTATGTTCAGTCATCGTTCTTATGTTCAACATGAATACATTTCATGTACGTATTTCTTCTTTCATAGCAATTTTCCTTCATACTTTCTTGCCGTGAAATAGGTCTTAAATTCTATTCAAAGTGGTCTTAAAAAGTCTTAAATTTGAGTTGGTGAAACCTGCAGGAACCCTGTAAAAAGTGATCATTTACTTCGGTATAACAGTCCTCAAATGTACTCTAACTTCTCTCAACTTGATCAATGAACCTATTTCTCCCCCAGAAAAGCCATATGAAATACAACTTCACCTTTGGGAGTTTCAGTTTTCCCACAGTTTAAATCTGTCCTCTGCTAATGGCCTCTTGCCTAGTTGGTGAGAAGCCTGGTTTTCTGTCTTCCCTACACAATGGAGTGGATAAGAATGGGGTCGATGAGAAGCCAGCACACAGCTTTAGTCCTCCAGGCTCCAGGGCATGTGTTTGTGTTGGTATGAGAGAAGGTTTCCCAGTTAACCTTGAGCCCCCGTTGGGCTCCAGGCTATGTGTGTTGGTGTGTGACTTTTGTGTGTCTCTAAGATAAAGGGAGAATCACAAGGCTGTACTCTCTCCTTCAGCTTTTTTTTTAAATGCCTAAGTGGGCCTCCTTGAAGATTCTGGCAGACACAACTAACCCATCTTTCTCCCCACCACCTTATTTCCATTCAATTCTGAATGCAGACTAACCATGTGATGGGTCATGCACAAAGCTTAATTGTCCAAATATACATATTACCTTTTCACGAACCAAGCACTGTGACAGTCAGTTGTTGACAAGATAAGTGCTTCATTTGTGACTTCATCCCTTACTCTTTGTTTAGGACATGGTGAACAAAGCTCTTTGTCTAATTTCCATTGCACCACACTGATGGTAGTGTCTCTCACAACTTTAACGTTGCTGATAAGTGTCTTATTGTGTGTTTTCAGGGGGCGGAGGCCATGGTGTTGGAGAGTGTGATGTTTGCTATCTTGGCAGAGAGGGAGCTTGGACCTAAACTATATGGCATTTTCCCTCAGGGCCGGCTGGAGCAGTATGTCCCTGTAAGTCGCCACGTTGTTGTTCATGTACACATATCTTCATCTCCATATACTGTGGGAACCTTTTGAACAGGGGTGGACAAACACCCCTTTGTTCTGGAATAGATTCAATTATTACATTTTGTTGAGGCAATTAGGCATCATTTTGTTTATTTATAGGGTGTTGTATGTGTAGGGCCGAACTAAAAAGTATTTAGTGTTTCACTTTCATAATATTCTTGACATGGCTTATTTTTTTTATTTAAAAAAAATGGGTATTGAAAGGAATTACAAAATCCCTACCCATACCCCTTGGTGTTCATCTTTTCTTTTTATTTAGATGACCTGGCCGTAGTTATATTGCCCATTTATAAATGATCTTCAGTATAAAAACAGGTTGCGGATATGTGTAGGGTTAGGATTTGAGATAGAGAGCTTAGATATGGTTAGGCATGTGGAAGCAAGCGTGGGAATGAATGAATCAACATGTTTTGCATGTGTGTTGTTTATTGCTCAATGATGCAACAGTAATCGATGTTCAGGGAGAATAAATAAACCCGATAACATCTCTTATACATTACCATGTTACATAATTAATTCATCTAATGAAAGAATATCATTTTGACCTTGGTTTATACCATTTAATTTTGAAAGACCAGCAGCAAGTAATTAAAAGATTCATGTTATCTTTTGTGCAAAAATGTAAAATCCCTTTTTACAAATTAACTTAAAGCAATTTCGTGAAAAACCGCACAATGTCCATGTATGTCAAGACCATGGTCCAGTTTACAGTACAGGTTTGTAAGACTTTAAAATTCAATTCTGCTACATCATGCAAGATTTTATAACATCCGTAAACTGAACGTTGCCTAATCATATTCATCAACCAGGCCGATGGGGGTTGCTACCAGTTCTAATATTGCCTCTAAAATGTTTGAGATTTAATCTTGCATAATGCACCACAACAATCCTCATGCACTTTTAAATAAGATTACATTCATATTATCGTGTTGACAGAGTCGTAAACTGGACACCTGTGAGTTAAGCGACCCCAGCATATCAGCAGAAGTTGCAGAGAAGATGGCCAAGTTTCATGTAATGAGAATGCCCTTCAACAAGGAACCCAAGTGGCTGTTTGGAACCATGGACAAGTAAGTCATTTGAGTCTTGTCCCGTCCTGTCCTGCCCCATCTTGTATCCTGTCTTGAGAAATATTTCGATTACCATTTGGTTGCCTATTCTCCAGATGTTCTAGTCTACGGTTTCAAATGAGTGACCAACTGAGCAGATTTGTAACAGCTCCCACATCAGTTACTGGAAGTTTAGATTCATTATATAGCATATTGCGTCGCTGATAATTTATCGACAAGTATAGGGAAACACTTAGCTTATCGTAATGCACATCTCTTTTCATTTCCTTTATGTTGACTTGTCTGTAGAAGGTTTGCATTGCAATATATTTGACAGCATGTGGTGATAAAGTCCATTATCCAGATTTACTTGTTTTCAACTGGTTACCTCACAACTTGTTTATCATCACCCGGATTAATTATTCCAAACTTGTTTGTACTGCCCCATGACTGGTTCTGTAAATGTCCACGTCAGACAACAAAGAGGATGAAAGATCAGACGCATAGTTAGTAGTGTCAGTTCATCCTGATTGGAATTTGTCGGGGCCAAACTCACAATGCATGATTGGACTAAAGCCAAATTCCATACAAAATAAGACTATATTTTGTGTAGTAGTGACCTTTTCTTTATTTCTAGACCTGTCAGAGATTCTGAACAGAAGCCAATAATGTGATGCCAAAGCCAACCGATTCCCCAGCAGTCATTTATTTCTATCTGATCATGTGGCCTTGACATTTAGTACAGTGCAAGCGAACATTAGTGAAAAAAAACCTTACACATTTCAATAAATAACACTGTCATGGTTACAAAAACGTACAGTGTTACGAAGTGGTTTCTTTCATTACCTTAGTGAAATGCAACAACCCACCCTAATCTCTTGTTCGCTTATTCATCCTGTTGTCCACTTTTGAAGCAGCAGTTGAAAATGTTGTTGATCAGTGACATTTACAGGGTGATGACAAATAGCAGGAAATAAAGAGTCACTAGCAAACCAGGACAATCTAGATGAAGGTTGCAAACATTAGTTACCATAGGCTACTGGTAATAGCATACAAGCTAGGCAAGCTAGCAAAGAACACTCTCTTTTAAAATGATAATTGCTAAGATTTGGGCTGCTTTAGCTCAGTCTGTAGAGAACAGATCAAGTGCGGAGTGTGGAACGATACCTTTAGAGTTGCCCTTTTACCTCCTGGTCACTGCCGAGGGGCCCTTGAGCTGATCCCCCCCACACTGCTTCCTGGGGGCTGTATGTATATTGGCTGCCCACGGCTTTTGCTGCTTGGATAGATGAATGTAAAGACTAAATATCATAGCATCTTAAGAGGATTTGATTCTAATCCTTGATTTCCATGTATTGCTTATGAACTAAATGTTTACAGTTAGCTGGAGTTAGCTAGCAACATTTGCTAAAGCTAGCTGTGAGTGTGGCATTTGTGTCTGACTGATGCAAGAAATTAAAGGAACAAGAGCTTTTTTGTTCTTTCCCTCTGTTTTCTTTCCCCCCCTTCTTGTCTATGTTTCTTAATGATATTGAATTGTAAAACTTCAGGTTAATGCAAAAACATTTTCCATTTCCAACGTGTGCAATTGTGACACTTTGGGTGTATTGCTGAAACAATAAAATGTGTGTAATCTCGACCAGATAGGACTCACTGCTGATTCAGAAACCTGTTTAAGTTCTATTTCTGTTTCTAGACCTCTGTTTCATTCATTCTACTCTGTATAACTGTTCTGTAGTTATTCTGCCTAAAATTGTGTTTTGAAATCTCAGAACAGCTAAAATACCTGTTTTTCCAGGCAGAAATATGGGTAAACTGAAACATTTGCCTGTTAGGGTTCACTTTGATTAGGGTTCAATTTGATTAAACAATTGTACAAATACTAAGTGCTTTACTAGGGGTAATTGTAGCAGGGTTAACTTAAAACCTCTGTAACAAGGGTTTAGTCTGACATTTGTCTGTAAAAAGTGCATTTCAATAGCCCTGAAGGCTATGCTGATTGTGTGAAGTGAGACAGTTTCAGCTGGTGCCCATCAGCTGCAGAGAGTTAACTAATTAAAGGGGCGTAGGCCCACAGCTGTGACAACTCAGCAATCAGGACTAGTGTCCATTTTAGGCAGCAATTTCCTGGAGCTTCAGCATCAGACAGACGAAGACTGACGAAGACAATAGAGTCCTGCGGGAGTAAGACTGACAAAGACAATAGAGTCCTGCGGGGGGGAAAGAGGAGGCAAATCCTACTTTGATTGAGCTAAGTATCGCTGGTGTTTTTTAGCCCCTCATGCTAAAACATGTGTATATTCTCCATTCCTGTTCATGTGTCCTCTCGCAATTATTACTGGACCCGTGCTTCTCCTAATCGATATAACCGGCCTGCTCGTCTATCCCACGTGCTCCACTGCGATCCAACATCTAGTTACAGGTGGCCTGTGGAACTGCCAGTCAGCTGTTCCTAAGGCTGACTTCATCTCTGGCTACGCTTCCCTGCAGTCTCTGGATTTTCTTGCTCTCACTGAGACCTGGATTACTCCATCCAACACATCCACCCCAGCAGCTCTCTCCACAGCATATTCCTTCACCCATACACCCAGACCCACTGGCAGAGGAGGTGGCACTGGTCTCCTGCTCTCTCCCAAATGGAGCTTTTCCCTCTTCAAGCTACCAAACTTCTCTCCTTCCACCTTTGAATTCCATGCCGTCACAGTAACCCATCCTATACAATTAACCATTGTTGTTCTCTACCGTCCACCAAGCGCCTTGGGAGACTTCTTGGAGGAATTAGATAATTTCCTCTCACACATCCCTGAAACTGGCCCTCCCACTGTACTTCTCGGAGACTTCTACCTCCATACAGGGAAGATATCGGAACTAACATCTCTTTTAACCGCCTTTGCTTTCTCACTGTCTCCATCCCCACCAACTTATAAAGCTGGCAATGTCCTTGATCTCATATTCTCAAGGAACTGCACTACTTCTAACCTCTCTGTAAACCCGCTTCACACATCCAATCACTTTTTCATTTCATTCTCTCTACCCCTTTCCAAACATAACAAACTAATCTCTTCTAATTCTGCACCTGTCCGCCGTAACCTTCGTTCCCTCTCCCCCTCTACTCTTACCTCATCGGTGCTCTCAGCCCTCCCTTCCTCTGACTCGTTCCAACTCCTGCCTTCAAACTCTGCTGCAGAAACTCTCCTCTGGACTCTTTCATCCTCTCTGGACTCTCTCTGTCCTCTCACATCTCGGCAGCCTCGTCAGTCCCCTCCTGCTCCCTGGCTAAATGATGCACTGCGTGCTAATAGAAGCAGCTGAGCGGAAATGGTGGAAATCCAAACACTCTGATAACCTCCTAACCTATCAGTCTCTCCTCTCCTCTTTCTCTGCTTCAATCTCTCAGGCAAAAAGCACTTTCTTTCAAGATAAGATCCATTCTTCCTATTCCAATCCCAAAACAACTATTTTCTATCTTCTCCACCCTCCTCGAAGCCCCCAAAGCCCCTTCCCCCTCCTCCCTTTTGCCAAGCGACTTTGAAAAAAAGGTTGATATTTGCTCTTCTTTTTCCGACTCACCTTTACTCACCACTGGGTCACCAGACCCACCGTTCACCCACACACTAACCTCCTTTTCCCCTCTCTCTCCAAGTGAGGTTCTTACCCTCATTACCTCTGCTCGTCCTACCACTTGTCCTCTGGACTCTATCCCCTCAAACCTCCTTCAGACTATCGCTCCTGATATTCTACCGTTTCTCACCCATCTCATCAACACTTCTCTAACTTCTGGTCACTTTCCAAACAGTCTCAAGGAGGCAAGAGTAAACCCTCTCCTAAAGAAACCCACTCTCAACCCGTCTGATGTTATAAACTACAGGCCTGTCTCTCTCCTCCCGTTCCTGTCTAGAACACTTGAACGCACTGTCTTTAAACAACTCCTGTTATCTCCATCAGAACAACCTTCTGGATCCGCACCAGTCTGGTTTCAAGGCAGGTCACTCCACAGAAACTGCCCTCCTCGCTGTCTCTGAGGAACTGCACACTGCTAAAGCAGCCTCCCTCTCCTCTGTCATCATCCTTTTCATTTAATCGTTTATTTGAACCGAGACAGTGCACATTGATGAACACTTTAAAACAAAAATAATGCTTACAAGTGTAAATTAGCCGGATTTGAGCTTTGAGCTCATTTCTATCCGTAGTCCCGTCACATACAACATATAAGAACATGACATTTATATACATAGCAAAAATAAATACATGATATGCAGGAAGAGCATGAGCAGCATACAAGCATTTACCACATGGCAGTACAATGTAGCAGCAGCGACATATAAAGTGCAAGATAAGATAAAAGAGCTACCTAAAGTGCAAGAGGAGATACCCCTGTGTTAAAGGGCATTTAGCGGTGATTGCACGTCTGTTTGTTTCTCAACCATTCTTTGAGTTGACCTTTAAAACTATTGAGAGTGGGACAATCCCGTATCTCAGTTGGGAGGCTGTTCCACAAAGAGCTGCCTTTAATGGAGAGGACATTTTGTCCAAAAGTGGTCCGTCTACGGTGGACTTCACAGTCTCCTCTGGTTTCTGACCTAGTGCAGCGTCCAGTGTGTTTTTTGTGGATGAATTCCCCTAAGGGAGTGGGGGCCAGTCCATGTAAACATTTATAAAAATAACACATACTTTTAAAAGACTTAAAATTGTCAAAACTCAAGAAATGTTGTTTATCAAGGATGGTACAGTGGTGATATGAATATGGCTTTCTGTCAAACACCTTGATAGCTCTCTTGTACAGCTGTTCTATAGGTTTCAAGTTTGTGGCACAAGCAAACAACCAGTTTGTAAAACAGTATTCAATGTGGGCAGAGATGGGGTCGTTACTAAAAAAAAAAGTAATATATTACATATTACATATTACTTTAAAAAAAAAGTAATATATTACACTACTTCGTTACTCTCTACATAAAGTAACTCGTTACTTTACTCGCAGGGCCGGCCCGCCCCTCCCTACAGGCAGATCACGCAGACTGCTAAAGTTTCAAATGTTCTCTTTAGTTCAGTTTCCATTGTCGCATAACACTGATCCAGATAGCTCTGACCATGGCTGTCCTCTGTCTCCTGCTATCTGTATTTTGTGTAGTATATCTCTGAACGATGCGATGGTGATTCCACTGTGCAAATGGGCAACATTTTCTCTACTATGAAGGATGCTACAAGCCTGTCCATCTCTGCTTTGGTTACCGGTAATTTTTGCTGCTTCGGAGTCGGCGGCAGGACACTCACAACATCCTCACTCTGGGTTCGGGGGTCCTTAGCTATTAGCTTCACCTTAGCATGTGTTCTTTGCAGGTGTTTGTGGTGTTTACAGCAGTGGATAACAGCTTCTGGCCTGGACACAGTTTGCACCTCACCGTCACATTCCTGTCTATTCTTCGGACGAACTCAAAATAATAGGCATACCTCCACCCCTCGAAAGTTATCGCTGACTCAGCCATGTTTATGCAGCACTGCACGTAGCGATGTGGACGCGCAAGTCGCGCAGATTACGTACATATAAACCTGCGGCGGAAACCCCTCTTGTCTGTCAGTGTGATTATGACTGATTTTATAAAAGTAACGAAGTAACGCGTGTCGGGGCAATGTTAGTAACTGTAGTGTGATTACTGAATTATAAAAGTAACGCGTTACACTACTCCGTTACCGACAAAAGTAATATTATTACAGTAACGCGTTACTTTGTTACTTTGTAACGCGTTACACCCAACTCTGAATGTGGGATAGAATCATACAGTGGAGGTATGACTTTGCAGCATTGACAGTTAAGAAAGGTCTAATTTGTTTAAAATGTTGCAAGTTGAATTTAATGGTATTGGATACTTTCTTAATATGTTTCTTAAAAGTCAAGTTCGAGTCCATTATGACTCCAAGATACTTGAAGTGGGGGACTAGTTCTATTTCTGCTCCGTTTAAAAACACGTTGGATCCTTCGATTTTGACTGGTCGTTTACTGAACATCATGCATACTGTTTTTTTTGCATTTAACTGTAAGCAAATGTTGTTCAGCCAGTGTTGAACTTTGTCCAAAGCATTTGAGAGACAGGATGAGATTTCAGTGTTTTTCCCATTTACAAAGATGACCGCATCATCGGCATACATTTGTACATTCAACTCAGGGCATACATTAGGCAAGTCATTAATGTACAGAGAAAACAGTAATGGTCCAAGAATGGAGCCTTGTGGAACCCCAACAGGGTTCACAAGGTAGGGGGATTTGGCTCCGTTGACCAAAACACACTGTTTTCTGTTCGATAAGTAAGACTTAACCCACTGTATTGAATCTGCCGAAAAATGTAAATACGTCAGCTTTGTAAGGAGCACTTGGTGGTTAACAGTGTCAAAAGCCTTTCTGAGATCAAGGAAGACAGCACCTACATATGGGCTTGTGTCCAACATACATTTAACCTTTTCCACAAAGACCTGTCTGCTTCATTCGACACGGTAAACCATCAGATCCTCCTTCGCACTCTCCAAGAACTTGGAGTTTCAGGCTCTGCACTTTCCCTCCTCACCTCATACCTCAAAGACTGCACCTACAGGGTAACTTGGAGAGGGTCCGAGTCCGACCCTTGTCAATTAACTACAGGGGTCCCTCAGGGCTCTGTCCTTGGTCCCCTCCTCTTCTCTCTGTACACAAACTCGCTCGGATCGGTCATTAGCCCGCATGGTTTTTCATACCACTGCTACGCTGACGACACCCAATTAATTCTGTCTTTCCCCGCTCAGAGACCCAGGTCGTCGCACGCATCTCTGCTTCTCTAGCAGACATCTCTCAGTGGATGTCTGCTCACCACCTCAAGCTCAACCTTGACAAGACTGAACTGCTTTTTCTTCCTGGAAAAGATTGTCCCACTCTTGACCTAACAATCAACATCGGCCCCTCTGTTGTTTCCCCGACTCAGACTGCAAGGAATCTGGGTGTGACCCTAGATAACAACCTGTCCTTCACTGCAAACATCGCTGCCACAACCCGCTGCTGCAGATACACTCTTTACAACATCAGGAGGATACGTCCCCTCCTGACCCAGAAAGTGACACAACTTCTGGTCCAGGCTCTCGTCATCTCACGCCTAGACTACTGCAACTCCCTCCTGGCTGGTCTACCTGCATGTGCCATCCGACCTCTGCAGCTCATCCAGAATGCAGCGGCTCGTCTGGTCTTCAACCTTCCAACATTTTCCCACACCACGCCGCTCCTCTGCTCACTTCACTGGCTTCCAGTAACTGCTAGAATCCACTTCAAGACACTGGTACTTGCGTACCATGCTGCGAATGGATCTGGCCCTTCCTACATCCAGGACATGGTTAAACCATACACCCCAGCACGTGCACTCCGCTCTGCATCAGCCAAACGGCTCGCTGCACCAGCACTGCGAGGGGGACCCAAGTTCCCATCAGCAAAAACACGTGGGTTTGCTATCCTGGCTCCAAAATGGTGGAATGAGCTCCCCATTGACATCAGGACAGCAGATAGCCTACACATCTTCCGGCGCAGACTGAAAACTCATCTCTTTCGACTCCACTTCGAGCGATAGAATTACTAACAAAGCACTTATATACTAATAAAGGACTGGCTTTTCTAAAGCCAGTTGAGTAGCACTTGAAATGTTTTGGCTCTATGAAACCTGATGTACTTATATGATTCTGTTTTCTTCAAGTTTGTGTCTTCTTGGTCGAATGCACTTATTGTAAGTCGCTTTGGATAAAAGCGTCAGCTAAATGCAATGTAATGTAAAAACAATTTTATCTTCAGCACTATTGGTAATCATAAGCATGTCCTATTATTCGTAAACCTTGTGTGCACTGAGTAATGATTCCGGACAGAGTCTGATTCATGCTCTTGATTGATGCTCCTGAATGCAGACGTCACTTGACTGAAATACTCATCATTTCTTGGAAAACATGATTTTTTGTTGTTGTAATCACACATACAGTTTCAGTCTTTATTGTCAATTCCTCTATTTGTGTTATACAGACAGAGGGATCAAAATTCTGTTTCTCATAATCCCAGAGAATAAATATATATAAAAATAAATATATACATATGTATATATACATAGATACACACCTAACACCCACTTATACATGTATGCATATACATATATACATACATACATCGACACAAATATACATATACACACAATTGGAGTTAGAAAAACAAATAGACAGTAAATATACAAAAAATAACGGTCAAAGGTTTGAGTCTAATCTAGTGGGCTAGACTGCTAAACCAATTAATTGAAACATAAGATATAGATATGATGTGACGATTAATTTGTATTATTATTCAAACAAAAGCTACTAGACCTGTAGAAAAGCTAGTGATGTTGTTTTCTAGGTACCGGTAACTAAATTAGATAACGGATTGTATATTTGTGACTTTTCAATGCATCTGAAAAGCCACATATTTTCTTAATCGAGTTTGAATCCGTCCAGGGGCCATTTGCCTCATGTCATCCCCTCTGTCTCCCCATTTCAACTCTGTGTCTACAATAAAGGTTGACCCAAAAAATCTTTAAAAGGACAAAACTACAACATGGTTTTATTTAAATTCATGTTGACATTAAGATTGACGTACTCTACTGTCAAAACTTCCTGGCTTCACAGTGTACAGGAATGTCGTTTTTGAGGGTGGAGTAAATGTTAGATTAACACTCTCACCATGCAGGTACCTGAGCCAAGTCATGAGGCTGAACTTCACCAGAGAGTCCCACCTGCGCCGCTACAACCGCCTGCTCAGCTACAACCTGCTGCAGGAGATGGATCTGCTCAAGTAGGCACACACACACACACACGCACGCACACACACACACACACACACACACACACACACACACACACACACACACACACACACACCATATGCAGGGAATGTTTCCACACATGGTGTGATGTAACCGAGTCACAGCATGTGTAGGTTCTTTGACAGTGTTTACTACTGCAAATCTCAGATTAACCTGTGAGCAAAACATACACTATGTTAACACAGTTTAGACTTGTTGTTACAAGGAGTACATAACAAAATGAACACTTAAATAAATTAAATAGCTGCATGAACATCCAAAAATCAGGAAAAGAGAAGAAAGAAATACAACCGATTGACAATAAATTATATTATATAGCTAACAGATAATGGATACGACAGGAATACTCATGGTCTAATGGATAGTGAGGTGGGCTGAAGATCGGAAGGTTGTGAGTTCAAATCCTGCCAGGAACACCACCACTAGTGTGCCCTTGAGTAAGGCACTTAGCCCTCAGTTACTCCAGGGAGAATGTCCCTGTAATTGGTAATTGTAAGTCGCTTTGGATAAAAGCGTCAGCTAAATGACATGTAATGTAATACATACATTAGTAGTCACATCCTACCACCTGGTCATTATAAATGTTTTGTGTTCTCTAACCAACCCATTTTTCCCAACTTTTATCAAAGATATGAACCTGGTTTCTGATTCTCATGATTATTTTTTACCCTTCCATAAGATTCTTCCATTGTGAGTTAATGAAGTTATTATCTTTTAACCAATTCCTTGTAATTTGTTTAATAATTGCTATTCTTATCACTAGGAATACGTTTTAATATAACGATACTAACACGTCCCACTACTAATATAATTAGTGGATTCTTATTTAGAGAAATACCAAAAACAGTTGACATTACTCTTATTTTCCAGAAGCCACTTAAAACTTTACAAGACCAAAATATATGACTATGGTTTGCCTTTTCATCACCACATTCTCTCCAGCATTTTGAAGTGACATTTTCTTTATACTCACTTTGAATTTGGTGTTTGTTAAAGTACCAATTAAGTATCTTCCATGTGTATTCTTTCCAGCTGTTGAGTTGTTTAATGAATGTTTTGGGACATAAGTTCCCCCGAGAAGAACATTTCATCTAACAATGAGACTCATGTCACAGTGATGGATTTTATTTATAGTGAAAAACTGAACAATTACCAGAAATCTTACCATTTGGAAAAGAACAGAACAGCAGAACCAAGGACAAACCCTATTAACGTGTAACAGTTCTGGGTAAGATTTGAATCATGGAACACTTGCCGGAGGTTTGGCGTCTGGTCCTTAGCACTGTGAATGTTAACCAAATTGCCAATAAAAGGGGTCCTTCACTTTGATTTCCATCTGCTTTTTGTATTGGAATTTGTTTTGGGTTGTACCAACGTCCTCTCGTAATGGGGTATTTTCCCAAATTTGGCACAAATGTCTTCTTGGACTGACGTTGAAGGGACTGTGACCTCACAAGGTTCAAGCCACATTCAAGAATTCTGACACCAAACATGACATTTTCAAAGGTATAATAGGATAAAATAATGAAGTGATAATATTTTGGGTAGACTTATGTTTATCTAAAAGTTTAAAACAATATTTAAACTGCTCGGTTGGGTTATACAACCTTGGGGCAATAGTTTCAGTTTCACCTATGTGCAAATGCTTTAATTAATTGAAAAACTGATATGGAACTTCTTTGGTAATATCCAGGATATTTTGTAGCTTCTTAATGATGTGTTGGGATAATTGCGATCTTTGCCTCTGACCTCCTAACCTCTTTATGTACGTCCAGGTCTCTGCTGGAGTCCACACACTCTCCTGTCGTGTTCTGCCACAACGACTGTCAAGAAGGTAAAACACACAGACGCCAAGGGGCCCTATCTGCTTTACACATTAAACATTTGTCATCAAATATTAACATTTTATTGCTGCTTTCAGGAAACGTCCTGCTGCTGAATGGCCGCCAGAGCTCAGACAAACAGAAGCTAATGCTTATTGATTTTGAGTACAGCAGCTACAACTACAGGTAAGATAGCAGCTACTGGAACACAGTTTTCTATAAAAAGGTCCTACTTTCAAGTGTTGTCTGTTTATCCAAAGCCTGATATAAAGTATTCCTCTCTGCCATTGAGCTCCGTTTTTGTCCGAAAGTGTGGGAACTGAATATCAATTGTATTCAGTCCCAAATACAGACACCTAGTTTTAGTCCTTTTTCTTGGAATGCGTTTAATCTAAAATAAATATTTTTTAAATCTAAAATAAATGACTTCAAGGTTGTCTTAATCAATGTATCTGATTTTGAAGCTTAATTGTTCTTTTGTTGGCTGAACAGACCTCCCAGTGACATTCTGTATCACTAAGATTTATTTTATATGTGAGCCAATGCTTGAATCTTGCAATCATTGTCAAACCCAACCATGTGACATAATGTTTGATTGGCAGTTTGGAAGCTTGGGAACAGGGGTGTGTTGCAGGTTCAAGTCCCTGAACACACCCGCTACAGCCTGTACTGGTAGTTGGAGATCTCACGCCAGAGTGTTCGATGCTGTTTCCCATACAATCAGGGCTGCCCCTGGCCAACTTGTGGCCCCACGCAAAGTTATGTGATGAGGCCCTCTGTGTCGCGAGCGTCAACAGAATTGCGGCGCATTTGCGCATAAGCTGAAGTGCGCCGCATTTGTGATTCAGGTGAGGCTCCCTCCGCAGTCTGCGTGATCTGCGTGTAGGGAGGGGTGGGCCTGCATACAATGACTCCTTCTTTAATTCACATACCAAAACACAACCGCTCTCACACAAAGATGCAGAGTTTAAATGTAACTCTGTTAACCTGTTAAGCCCCAAAGACCCCGTCGGCGGGTCCTTTTTTTTTTCACAAATTAAATTAAAACAATTTTTTTTATTTCTTTGGATGGAATGAATACCTATGGTGATAATTCAATGTAATACACCATTTTTATAGTCTGGTACCTGAAAAAGGTCAAATGGCACTGATGGAACCAGATGTACCCAAATGTGCCGAAAGCTTATTCCGCCTGGACCTTTTTTTTGCTAAACCTCTCTAAAAAGGTCAAATTTCACTTGTTTTGCCCTCAATCTTGATACAGGGTACTTATTATATGTTATAGTTTGGATTCCTAAAGCTTTTAGTCTACCATCCCATCATTCAAGGGTGGTTTTCACTATGGCTGCGTTTCACTTCGGTTAAATTGATTCCTTGCGTCCCTCACTTGCGTCGTTTCCCTGCGTTTAGTCCCTCCCACCAGGGAAGCATGGAGAGACGCAAGGAAACCACGAGAAGCAGGGAAATGAGTTTTAAGAGCAATGGGACGTCCTTTCCTCCGGAGCGTCACGTGAAGCGACGTCCGTTTGTGATGACGCCGCACAGCTGTTCGTCTGACAGCAGCTCTGTCCCCGTTATTTTCACAAACACCCCCGCCTCTGTTAGTACACATTTACTGACACAAACATTTGTATCATCTGTTGTAGACCCAAATACATTAAATAAAATAAGAACTCATTCTCAAAAAAGATAAACGCCATTCTTAAAATGTATAAACGAACATTAGTTTGATTAATATTGATTAGAGTGCACAATAGAAATAAAATAATTCAGAGAAGAAAAAGAGATATGTTATCTATCAAAACCCAGTTAGATTAACATTCATTGGATTGCACACTTTGTCTGTTTGTGTGGATATGTAGCAAATGAACATGTTAAATAGCACTTAATGACTGACTGAATGGAAATGACAATAAATGAAAATGTAAAACGAAAAAGCGATCATGAAAATGTTTCCAATAAATGAATAAAATAATTTTTTACCACTTTGTTGTTCAGATATATCACATATTTGTAACTAAATGATGCATTCATTGAAACAAAACACAGTATAAACTGAGGAGTGAGTCCCGTGAGTTTCATGTGTTTTCTTCACTCCGCTGGGAAACTCTGCTCTCATGTCAAGAAGCATCAGATCAGTGCATGCGCTGCATCGTCCAATCAGTGAGCGATACACAGTAAGGGGGCGGGGAGAGTATCGGAGGATTTCATCGAAGGATGGTCTGGTGGTTCCTCGATTATAGCTCCTCCATTATCGCTCCTCGCTCCTCGATCCTCGGTCCTCCGGCAAAAATAAGGCCATTGGGACGCTACTCAAGATGGCGCAGACAAATCAACTTCCGGTGAGACCGAGACCGAGGAGCGAGGAAATGAAAAATAAGAGAAGTGAAACGCAGCCTATAAGTAATGTTTTTTCTTTAGGCGGAGGTAAGAATTTACCTTTTTTTGCTATGTTCCATCTGAATTTACTCTGACTGAGAAAAATCTATATTGATTCTGACACTTCTACATCCAACTCACAGATGTAACCTTGCTTTGATAAAAGAAATGATTCATATAACCCTTTTAGAAGTGAAGTTGTAGTCATTTGTTTTGGGCATGTCATTTTCGAGCCTGAAACCTGAAAAACAGGCTCTGGGCTTAACAGGTTAAGTGTGATTTTTAAACCATGATTATATTCAAATCCTCCATTTGCTTCTACCATGTGTACTAGGATGAAAATGTATTTAAGAAGAAGTATTTGAGAGTAAGTGTTTTTGCACACTTTGTCAATGAAATACATCTATAAATATACATTTAGAGTTCAAAGTGGCCCTTTTTGGGGGGTTTTCCCTTCACTGTAGTGTATTCTATAGGTTTTGTGCATGTAAATGGTCTGCAAAGGCTAGAATCCCTCTGTTTCCTCCAGAGGGAGTTACCCTCCATTACACTCCCCCCCCCCCCCCCCCTGCCTCCATTGGACTTCTTTGTTTACTTCGCTAACATAGTGACATCACTATGTAATATTCGCGTTTCTATCGTCTAGCGCTCCAACACAATGTATGTGAAAGGCTAAGGGGCGGGACATCTCTAAGGGTCGGCCAGCTAACCAATCAGAGCAGACTGGGCTCTGGTTTCAGACAGAGGGTGAAAAGAGGTGCTGCAGCACAGGCAGTATGAGAAAAATAAAGAGCTTTTTGAACATTAAAGCATGGAGACAGATCAAAGTAGATAGCGCAATATGTTCTCATCAAATGTATTAACCTCCGCAGCCTGAGGCACTGCTAATGAATTCTCCTTCCACTGCTGCGTCACTTCTTTTCATCCTCATGCCAGATCTTTGCCTCCCGACTAACCTTGGCTTTGCAATCGAGAGATATGTGCGGGGAGTGTGATAGTCGCAGAATGTGGAAGAGGCAGTGAGAGACAAATTGAGATAGAGTAACCCAGATGTTAAGGCAGAAAGAAAGCATAATCTGAAGGAAAACAAAAGGGGAAGAATGCAGCCTCGCTTTGTATCTGTCTTCCATCATGGCCACCTCCCTCTGTTATATTATTCACTGCAGCTGTTATGTAATAGGAATTTGTCAGGGCAATGAGGACACACAGGAGGCTGTCAGTGTAACAAATGGTGATGATAGTGCTCTGGATTTCCTCTACAGTCTGGTACAAAGGACTAGGTTAGGATGAAATAGAATAATGGGACTGTAGATTTTTCAGCACCTTTGTTTAACTGCGGTTGAGTCTGGTTATGTGATTTTTTTAAATGAGTCATTTTATGGGAAACAGCGCAGAACGCTCTGGCCTTGACTTACGGTTGATCTCAGATAAAAGTCTCTCTCTCTCCCCCCACACTGAGGCAGAAACACCCCCACCCCCCTGCAGCTCCCTCAGCGTGGCCCCTTTAAGTCTCCTCATATGTTGCGGCTAACACGTGATTCTCTTTGCACAAGTGACCCACCAAGCACGTGTACCATATAGCTGCCGGAAGAACACGCCCACAAATAGAAACACTTACTGTGGAATGTTTTCTCTTTGTCTCACATGAGCTAGAAACAGAAGGGGATGAGCCCAGTTTATTGACTGCTGATAACTGTGTGGGAATCAACATGCTAAAGTGGTGCTTGAGAGCATTAACACACACACCTACGGCCCATTTGTTCCAGTCTAAATCACAGATCAAGTTTCATTCTCAAATAGGTGCTTACATTGTCAAATAAACAGCCTTTTAATTGAGTATGGATTTGTCATGTCAATGGGCTGTATGGTACAAGGTCCAACACTCTCGTCTAGACCTGGGGGTTTCAAAGTCTAACACCTCCCCTTCTTCATCTAGATAACTACAGCTCCTCAATACTCCCCACCTCATGTTGTACTAATACAGTTCCTATAGAGTGGTGCAGTGATGGCCTATTTTTGTAGACTGACCCTGAAGCAGCACATTTTTGGGTTATAAGCAACATATTTATTCTATGATTCTAAGTACATATATATACGTGTATTGTGTTTTTCTGCATTGGGGAGGCCCCTCATTGTCGAAAAAAACCCTGTTCTAGCTTGAACTATTGCAGCAACTATTCTGTGTGTAACGATTAATTAATGCACAGTTGTCCATAGTGCCCAGTGGTTTGCTTCGTCATTGATCAAACATTTGATTGGATTACACATGGCACTAGGAAAAAAGTACAATTGTGTTCTTCTCAATTATTGTATTCATGAATGTAAAGACATCATCAGCATAACTGTTTCTCTCCATGTGTTAACCTTGCAGGGGATTTGATATTGGCAATCATTTCTGTGAATGGATGTACGACTACAACTGTGAGGAGTTTCCTTTCTTCAAAGTCAATGCTCAGGCCTATCCTTCAAAGGCCCAGCAGGTGTGTATGATGTGTTTTCACAACAATGTCTTATTCATTTGGCTTATTGTCTACTGTTGACTGATGGCAACTCTTTACCTCTCTGTTCAGCTGATCTTCATTGAAAGCTACCTGTGTGAGTCTGACCAAGGTTTTCACAACCTAAGTGAAGAGGACCAAATGAGGCTGATGGAGGATCTGTATGTGGAGGTCAACAGGTGAGCTCTCTTGCATGACAGTGGGAACTGACAAGAGATGACAGTAAAACACATTACAATAAAGACCATGTGTTTTTAAATAGGTTCTCCCTGGCGTCCCACTTTTTCTGGGGTTTGTGGTCCATCATCCAGGCCCGGCTATCCACCATCAAGTTTGGATACCTGGTGAGTAAACATTGTTTGTGTGTTTTTCTACTTTAAATGGTGATGTAGGTAGTAAACAAGTATATACTTCCCTAAGTAAGCTGTGTTGGTTCAGGAAGATATACACAGTCCTGGAGGGTGAGGCAGTGTCAATATTTACTGTAAAGAACAGGTCAGGTCATGTCAGCCTGTCACAGAGAAAGGTCGACTTTGTCACAACTATTAGGTTGACCCAATCCTGTGAAATAATACATATAATGTAATTAGGTAGGGATCCCTCTCCAAGCATGTGCAATAGATGTTGTATGTACAGAATAAACCTGTTAACAAAATTAAAACACAGACAATCTATGTGACAAAAATGATAATGTGAATAAATATGATTCAAATTGGATCCTGGAGCATGTTAATCATCTTCCAGGTGTAAAAAACAATAGTAGAAATAATAATACCAAAACGCAAGTAGTAATAAAAACAATATTAATACAACTCCTATAACTCTTAGAATATGCCAAATAGAAGTAGCAGAGGGCAGTTAACAATATGCATCCATGGGACATGCCTGCAAAGATATATAGGACTTACAGATGTAGCACGTCATTTTGGACGCCCCTACCCATGTGGGTCCGTGATCTGCACGGGGTGGGCCCTCGCTGAAAGGAAAACCCCCCGCAGGACTTGATACGCCCCCTTGATAAATACATTTAATTATAATGAAACCAGCTGCAATGGATCATGGATCCACCAGGGGGAGCAGTGATTAAAAAGCTGCCACAGTGGAACTCATGTGAAATAAACAGCTGATAGATCTCTACAGGTATCTGATATAGCGGATCTTTGTTAAGATCCATATGTCACGGATAGGATCATATTCTGTGCTAAATAAGAGACATGTAATCATTTACAAAACATCACCATGTTTTTATTTAACAAAATAATGTTGTTTAATCCACGTTGGCGTACTACACAAAACCATTGGTTAGTTTTTTCATCAGGAAATGCAGACCGGCTCATACAAACGATTTTTAATCATCACACGATCATTTAATGTATCATAATGTTCGCCGAATTGACATGAAAGCACTAATGAATGTGGTTTAATCCACGTGAGTTTACCACTACAAAAATAATCGGTTTGTTTTTATATCACATCCGACGGGAGGAAATGCAGTGCCCTCACTACCGATTTTTACTCTTAATTTAATCATCATCTTCACCATGATCATTTATGTTTATGTTCGCCGAATTGACATGAAAGCACTGACAAATATGAATATACTGTAGTCAACTTCATTAAAACTTTATTCACTTGCCCAAACTCAGTAATTCACTAAAAAGAGGTTTATTTTTAATGAAGCCTCGTCATCTCACCATGGGCAAACGGGCTATAATATTATACTATTGTTTATAGTTTACTGTATTATTAGTGTTTAATATTACTGCTATAACAATCACACATTGAGTTCATTGTTGTACAATGTTAAAATCAGACCGTTGTTTTTTTTAAATAGTCAGAATGAAACGGCAGCTCTCAGGTGATCAGCTGTGTGTTTACACACCTAATGGCCCATCAGCCATGGCCCCCACCCCCCTCTGAGTGACAAACGCTTACAGTTAGCTGTCTTTGTGTATTGCAACCAGGGAGAGCCGTGATGGACGCTGCCACATCGAAACTCATATGAAATAAACAGCTGATTCCTCACACACACAGTAGCCTGTTGTTTCTATGCATAAAATAGTGAGAAACATGCCTCTGGTTGATTATTATATAACTTATTTTCTCCATAAAAGCTGGTGGGTTGAAAGCAATAGAGAGGCGAAGTCCCTCCCTTTCCGGGGGAGCTCCATGGGACCTTATTTCGGAAAGATTATGTATTGAAGTCAATGGGGAGAGAAAGATTATCTTTCGATCCCGTTTGAATTGTGCCACGAATTACACATATGATGTTTGTCAATTTAAAAGATAATTTTGCAAGTAAACAAAAAAAAAATGTGTCAAAACTGTGAAGTAACACTTTTTTTTCCCGTCTCGCACCACACACCAAGACGGCCGTCACGTTGGCACATTTCACTTCTTTCTTTCAGAATGAGGTGAAAAGTATTAAAAGAGGTGAAAATCACTACAAGTCTGGGCATGTTGAGAGCTGTACATACAGGGTTCCCGCGGGCTCTTAAAAAGTCTTAAAAAGTCTTACATTTGATAATCTGAATTTAAGGCCTTAAAAAGGTCTTAAATATGACCAAAAAAATAAGAAAGGTCTTAAATATGATTTAGAAGGTCTTAAAAATGATGCGATTTGAAAGGTACTTCTGTGTTGCGATAGCGTCTAAATGTGTTTTGGGGGAAATGTCCGGGCTGCAAAGTAACCAGTACGGTAATAGCCTTTCAGTTCCCCCCAACAATTTGTATTGAAATAAATCAACATGGAACCAGTAATCACTAACTTTGTTTCCCCCGGCCCCTTATCGGACAACACCCAGCTAGTAACCTAGCAACCAAGCTTCAGCTAGCGGCAATCAGAAACTCATGTCTCTTCGAATCTACTTACAAATAAATATGGGGAAGTGTAAGTTCAACCGTATTTGGTTGGAAAACATCGAATTTAGTGCTTGGTTGAAACCAGTGGAGGGGAACGTGTTTGAAGCCCGCTGCACCTTTTGCAAAAGAAATTAGCGTTTGTTTTGCTAATGTAGCGTTAGCTAGTGCAGCGTTAGCTAGTGCAGCAGCTCCCGCAACAACACCGGGGGACCTCCGGGCGACGTTTGGGTCTTCGACGTCAACCCTAAAAGCGGAGGTGCTGTAGACGCTAAATACCGTAGTTAAACACCAATCATACAACAGCAACGATGAAAGATTGTAGCCAAGGCAGCAGAGCTCTGAATATAGCTCTTGTTACTATCTCTCACACACACACACGCACACACTAGGGCTGCTCGATTATGGCAAAAATCATAATCACGATTATTTTGGTCAATAATTGATATCACGATTATTAAATACGATTATTCATTGACTTTGAAAACATCAATTTATTGAACTTTAAAACAAATAATAATTTGAACAGTATCTTTTTAACTGTTGATTACCCTGAATGTATAATTCAACTGAAAAACCAATACAAAAATAAATTAAATAAATGATACATTTAAATAAATATCAAAATAATAAATACCAATAAACAAGATCAACAAATATTTTGGAGCGCACTTCCACAAGCTACTAAACATATATAAATATGATAAATAAAAATAAATTAGACTAAAATTAATTAGATCAAATATGTGCACTGTCACAACAAAGCTAAATAATAGTTTTTTTCGATTATGTTGTTTTTGTAATTGTGGCAGGCCAAAATCGTAATTGCGATTAAAATATGATTAATTGCACAGCCCGAACACACACACAAGCACACACAGAGACACACACATACACACTTTTTGTCTAACACGCTAACACAGTTCTGTACTGTTATTTTATGTTCAGTCATTGTTCTTATGTTGAACATGAATACATTTGCTTTGTAAGTAATTATGGGACGTATTTCTTCTTTCATAGCAATTTTCCTTCATACTTTCTTGCCGTGAAATAGGTCTTAAATTCTATTCAAAGTGGTCTTAAAAAGGTCTTAAAAAGTCTTAAATTTGAGTTAGTCGGTTCCGTCAGAGCCAGCATGCGGGACCGGGATTCTGGGATTTGTAGTCTTTCTAGTTGCATATTTTCCACTATTCATTAACCCTGAAACCCCCCTCTGTTAACAAGAGATACTGTAGTAGTCTATGTTGCGGACTCTTTGTTTAAAACTAATTGCCCATCGGAATGTGTGGAGAAAGTCTCCCAAGGGGGATGGGAAACTTCTGACTATTGTCACATTCCGATCGGAATTACATGCAGGGCAGCATTGCCGGTCTGAAAGGGTCTCTGGAAATATCAAACATTTAATTAAAGTTTTAAAAACAGTGACAGGTTCAAATCAGAGGTGGAAGAAGTATTCCGATTATTTACCTAGGTAAAAAGATGTGTTAGAAGCAAATGTCCTGCATTCAAAATTGTCAATAGCCCAAGTGAAAAGTATTATCATCTGAAAGTAAAATTAATCATTATGTTATTAGTATTAAATACATATAATTTGTACAACTTGTATTTAGAAATACTCCGTTGTAATTATCATCCATTCAATGTGGCATCTGCTATGATGGGGTTAATGTATGATATTACTTAATAATACATCACATTACTGTATAATACGTGATAATGTATGAGTTGATTTACTTCGATCTACTGTACTGTGTAAAAACACCACAACAATATTACAAAAAATATACTGCATATTAAAGCAAACTATTGTAAAGGTAAATGTATGAGCATAACAAATAAATAAGTGTAAAAATTGACATTATTATTATGATTATTTAAAGTGGACCTATCATGCTATATTATAATAATATAGTGTAGGACCATACCTATATAAGGCATATTTATACTTTTTTTTTTTCAAAATACCAAACAGATCATGCATTTTAGCCATGCCTCATTTTGCTCAATTTGACAATTTCTAGCTCTGTTTTTGCAAGGGCAGATTCTGTGAGAACAGCACCATCTACAGGCCTGGCATATGTACTACAGCGTCTCCAGCGCTTTCGAACGGCAATGGCCGTGGCTGTCTCCTCCTGATTGGTGGAGTTGGCCCAATAGCCGTAGCGCCACCGTCCTGACGTCAGGACAGTGTTCAAATCTGGATCAGTTTTTATCAGATCCGTTGCAGCCCCTTTTTTAGAGATTTGGGTATGGAGGAAAATAGAGAGGGTTGTGTTTTCTGACACTTGGTGAGTTCCCTGGAACACCGGGGACACATATTCATGTATACAAGACGTACAAAAGTGCATTTTGCATGATAGGTCCCCTTTAATATATAAAGACTATGTATTATTGAATTACAATTAAGATAATAAGATTAGATATACTTTATTTGATCTAAAATATTGATGTTTTTTCGTTATAGTAGCCTGTGAAAACCATAACAAATAAGTGATTAAATGCTCTTCAGCAAACACAACTGCAGAGCTGCAAACATTGCAAACAAACTGAAGACCTAAGTTCACCCAGTTGTCTTTGTGTATTTGTGAATGAAGCGCCATCTCATGGTTAAATCCTGTAATTGAACAAATGGGGAAATTTGGCAACGCCCTCTAGCAATTTGGCAACGCCCCCAGCCACTGGGATCCGCTGGGTTTTTGGTTGGAATCCGCTGGGTGGAGTCCTATCTGGAGTGCTACATCTGTAGGACTGGTCAGAGACAAGCCCCAGCCAGCCCTAACACGCTTTATCTAAGAAGAAAGACTAAAGCCTACAGTACTCTTAAATGTAGAGAGGGTGTCTGCATCACAAACTGGAAGCTGGATCCACACAACAGGAGCTTGATAGCTGAAGGCTTTGGCTCCAGCTTTTGGAGACCCTAAGAACTACTAATAACCTGCATTATGTGTGCACAGTGCTCTAGTGAGGCAATAGGGTACTATGAGCTCTAACGTTCTGATGATGCCTCACCATTAAAAGCTTTGTGGGTGAGGAGAAAGATTTTAAATTCCATTCTTTATTTCACACAGAGCACCTGCAGAAAAACAAGTTTTAAGCAAATTATTGGGACAGCTTAATAACAAGGAATTACAATAATAGCTGGCACAATAGCAAAATAACTACGTTTTTTCTGTGTTCAACAACATACAATTGAAAGTTTATGGAGTGTTTCCTGATGACTTTTCCCAAATTATTAATATTTAAGGTGAATACAATAGGTCCGAGTACAGTACCTTGCGAGACCCCATTCATTACTTATGGCGCGTTTCCACTACTAGGCCTCGTTAGGCCTTGTTAGGACCGGCTCACTTTATGCTGCGTTTCCATTACAGTTTAGGAACTGGGGTAGTAACTATAGTAACGCAGTGTAGGCGGAGCCGTGACGTCATCTTCAATGAGAACCCCAGAAAAACAACACAGCCGTTAGCTGTTAGCACTCAAGCTCACAGCTCCTCATATCTGTTCAGAAACTAGACAAAAGTTAAACAAGTACAAACCACAGACTGCCTGTGTCATGGCGAATACAGTCGCTGCTTTATTTATGTCTGTATAGGCCGTTGTTGTGAGTGTGGACGGTCGGAGCATATACTGCGTTAGCTTAGCCAATCTCCATTTAGAAAACACGCATTTTAAAAGGTTTTTCCCCTGCCGTCTGTCTGCAGACTTGTCAAAGCATTAATTCATGGTTTTTACTAACCGGTATCAGTATGTTGTTACTTCGGCATCATTTTGAAACGTGTATTACAATTAAATCACGGTCAAATATGTTCATTTTGTTGTAGTTGTAGCCCCCTTGCCAGCGATTCTCTCTCTAGTTTAGCATACTCAGCCCGACTCAGCCCGACTCAGACTCGTTGTCTCTGGCCCTAGAACCACGATTTTATGGGGCCAGAAAAATTGTGAATTAGGACCCGCTGGCCGGTACTAGGCCAAGTGGAAACGCAACCAAAAACGGGCCGCTGACGTCACAGCTCTCTTAAACCGGGCTCCGCGCTGCAGTGGAAATGTGCAGCGACCTGTGTTCCTGTTTAACTGGTTATTGTGTTAACTGGTTAGCTATTTTCCATTGGGTTGAATGTTGCAATCAAACACACCACAAAGGCATATAATTGCAACAAAAAAAAACACGTGTCTACGACACTGCGGCACAGACGATTAGATAACATGCAAGTAAAGTAGCGTTTTTCAAAGCATGGGTTCAGACCTTAATTGCCTCGGCTATAGTTCACTCTATTTTATTTATTTATTGCAGGCTTCATTTATATGCTGCAGTTTACAGACAATCTGCCCGTTCAAACACTGACTCAACACAGTTTACTAATATTAAACTTGTTTCGGCAAATTCAGATGATAAATACAACTTTGAAGCTTGTAACGGCATAATTACAAGCGGAGAACTGAGTAACTAAACGTCACAGCAGGCATAACAACAGCCGGTGTTTCTTGTGAGTGTTTTCCCCGGGAAACAAACGCAAAAATACACACACACACACACACACACACACACACACACACACACACACACACACACACACACACACACACACACACCACACACACACACACACACACACACACACACACACACACACCCACACACACACACACACACACCACACACACACACACACACACACACACACACACACACACACACACACACACACACACACACACACACACACACACTTCCCCCCCCCAGACCAGTAATCCAAACGAAAATCACAGCGTTATGACGTTCCAGAGTCCAAACTGCTCTCGTGCTCAGTGAGTTGGGCTGGTTCAGAAAAATGTATCACTGTAATAATTCACAGCACTCGAAAAATTAAATGTCTTCCAGACTGATAATTAATAAATCTATAAAATATTTTTTTATAATATTTTTATAAAATATGTTTTTATAATATTTATATAAAATATTTTTTTATTCAATCTTTCTCTGCGGCCCGGTAGCAAATGACCCACGGACCGGACCGGTGGTTGGGGACCACTGACTTAGAGGATTCATCCTTAACATGTTCAAACTCGCTCCGAATATTAAGTCCTAAACCACTTTAGCGTTGTTCCTTGTATGCAAATAAGTGTACATAAATGTGAAACATTGTAGCACATGTGAAAACTTCCCTTTACCAATGTTTTTTGTTTAGTTATATGCACATTACAACTTAAAGTCCTTCAATTACTCAAAGGCCAAAATAAGTGCGTTACTCAATGCCTAGGCTTTAATTGTGAAATATCCCAAGGAAATGTTTAATTGATGATAACTTAACAGAAAAAGTTGTCCAAGAATTAGTATTTTAGTAATTAGTAAAAACATTATTTCGCATTTTCTTTATTCTGTTAAAGAAAGAAACAGAACTGAATGGAGAGTATTATAGGACTCTGCTATACTGATTTTGGTAATGTTGTATAATGCTGAATCTTTCTTTTAGTTAGTAAATGCAAAATGCAGTTGTGTGCAGATATGAATAACATCATCGATATTTGACTGTGTTGCAGGATTATGCCCTGGCCAGATTTGATGCCTACTTCCAGCAGAAGAAGATATGGGCTAACGGAGCAAAATAAATAGATGGACTGACATCCCATTCAGCCAAACAGCAGGTGGAGCACATGCAGGCTGATGGAGACTTCACCATCCGCGCTTCACTTATATTCCATGCCTCGACAGAGTTGCTGGCTGGCTGGCTGGCTGCTGTTGGTGTTGTATTGACCAAAGCCAAAACTTGATCACGTGGCTAAGTGCTTAAGGTACGCCCCAAAATCTATTGCAGCTCAAAGTTTACACTGTGTAACTCACTGAGAGCCAAAAAAAAACACTGACTACTTACCTTCATCCCTTGTCAGAACTGCTGTCTGCTTCTGCCTTTTTTCGAACCATTTTACTAACACAAGGGTTTTGAGCAGGAGAGAGGTGGGAACAGCTAGATTTGAAATATTAACATTGCATCAATGTAAATGTATTGATCATTCCCTTATGGAAATGTTCTGCTGGGAATAACCAAAATGTGAACTTTGCTTGGTAGATTCCTGCTTACTATAGCCGCCAGTTGCCAACTATGTATATTATATATAGACCCCCAATGTGCCAGTAATCTGGCCTTGTCTGTTACTGATGGTGAAATCATGACTTGATTTACAGGTCAGGTTGAATCTACACTTATAGGTATTACACTTGCTGTTTATTTGATTTTATTTGTTTAAATGGTTGCATAATAAATGTTATTCAGGCCAGGGCAAATATCGGAATCGTGTACATTTTCAAGTATGTGAATATTTGAGTTCCCTTTTCTGGGTAGCTTCTTAACTCCACCAAATCAAAAAAATCAAAAACATGAATTTCAGGTATTTCCAATAAATTAGATCTGTTTATCTTTGGATTCCTAAAGAGTTAAAATGTATGGTATTTTTATAAATCACTGTGAAGTAGATTCATATCTTCATGTAGTTTACACATTAACATTTGCATTGTCTGCTTTGGCGAAGACATTCCAGCCATGCTTTATAAGCTTTGGAAAGTGTTGCTTAACACTAGGGAGCTAACTGACCATATATTTGTTTTTTTACTTTTATATATTATCCATGATTTGAAGAAAACATCACACAGTTCACATATGAATGGTATCTTTTTGTGTTAATTGATTCTTTAGGGATGTCATGGGTCATTGTACCCAGACGTACCCATCCAGAATAATGACACAAACGCTCACATCATACTGCACAGCTGACCAGCTCGATTCTACCTCACCGCACCAAGTCATTATTTGTGCTCCAACTATGCTATTGTTCACAGATTGACAGATTCATCAAATGATGCTAACAGCCTTCTTTTGGCATTTAACCACATACATATCTTGAATTTCAGTTTCTGGGCACCATCTAATTTTTGTGATTATTCTTTTTGTCCTGATCAGTATTCCTCTTTCCACCCAAATTAGGGTCATTAAAAGCGAGCCTGTTTGCTCTCCATTTCAGTAGCAGTGCTTTTAAGACCTAATTCATGAATGCTATATGTGACAGTAAAGCTTTTCATGCTAAAACATATGATCTAGCATACAGTATAACATGTGGAAGGTGCAGGATCTGGTTAAAGAAAAGAACAAAATTAGCCTATCGCTCAGCAACCCTTTTAGCAACTGTAGCTGATGCTCAAGCTTTCTTTTCATTTAAAATCCAAACAGGAGATTAAACACTAATATAATAATTGTTATTATATATATTGTTAATTGTTTTAATTTTAGAATTGATGGTTCTCTAAAGTCAGAAAGTTGTAGAATGAAGCACTTATTAGCTAGGGTCCATCGATTCTGATTACATTAATGACAACTGATGCGAGCCGATTTGGCTAGCTAGCTAATTTGGCTAAGGATTTTTTGGAAATGCTATTTCTGGCTACGGCTAACTTGTTTTAGTACAATAACCCCTGTAAAAAGGGGTCCTAATAATGTACTTGAAAGCTACACACCTCCTAATGATGCATGTATAGACATTTAAAAAAGCAGCAATATAAGAGAAAATACCCTTATGACTTTCCTAAAGTTAGCCTACATTTAGCATCCAAGACTAGCTTCCACCCAGTGAGGAGATAGCCCATGATCCATATGCTAGTTATAAACATGACATAACATAATTCTCCAAACTCCGTAAACTGATTATAACTCTAACAACAACAGTTGCTAAGCCATGGTTGAACATTCACTGTTTGGGGTTTAGCAAAAAGCCATTTAAAAGCTTAATATCGTCTGGTAACACTCAAGTGGATAGCCTACTTGTTGCCGCAAATTATATGATACACAGACAAAAAGTTGTATAACCACCATAAAGGCTGACTTGTAGCATCATATATACATCAGGGTATCTCTGTCTACCTGTGAGCACTAAGACATTGTATGGAAGCCACACAATGACTCTGGTGTAGTGTACAGTAGTAATTGGCTCACCTCTTGTTAGAATGACTACTGTAACAGAGCTGAGGGAAGTGAGCTGGATCATGAAACTTAACAAGACACTACTCTAGTCACCTCAAAGTGGAACAATCCAGAGGTGTTTGAATGTCGACTAAGGCACTTTTGATTTTAGGACCGGAAATATCTATATAAAAAATAACAATATGTACTTGAGTGTTTTCATGTGAGGGTTATCGAATTGTGAATGTTGTTGAGAAGGGTTTATTTGACTTGCAAATGTATTTGTATGTTTATTTTTATTGTTATATTTTGTTTTCAATGTGTTTCATGTTTAGTTTGGAATTTTTATTGATATTCAATGGGATTAGGGATATTCTAGCAGCTGAATGTGCAGAGGAAGATACTGGAAGTGTTACTGCTACATCCCTTCTGTAGCAATAGACTATTTGAACATAATTGCATTGCTAGGCAACAGCTTGGGTCCATGACTACTACCTGTCAGATGAAGTCTCCAAATACCCTGCGACAGGAAATTAACTGGGATACATTTAGAATGTTATGTTTACAACTGTAAAATGTTTCAAAACCATCTTGTTTTTGTTGTCCTTTACCATTATTTTATATATTTGTTATGGTAGAAATGGACTCTACAATCTGTAACTATAGTACATTCCATAATTATTGCTTCACCTTCAGTATTGTGTACACTCCACCAAAATCACAAAACTTTTAATGTTTTATTTTTCAATCAAATTCTAATTGGTCATCGGTAGAAAACAAACATTGTCTCTTGAAATTGAATGGAAATTGACTAACAAAAGTATAGATAGTCATGCTAAAAATATCCAAAATATAAGGACAAATGTGTTACATTATCATTCCTATCAACATGTTAATGTAATACACCTAATTTTTGTTTAAAACACATTCTGTTCTGTGATAGCACCCACAACTATCATGTGACCCACAGTGGTGACCGTTGCTATCTATCTAGCTACTCTGAATGAATATGTACTCAGATGATGGACTATCATTTGTAAAAAAAAAGGTTTCGTGTGACCTGCTGCAGCATTGAAATTATCTTGGCTGTAAATGATATTTTCTGCTTTGCACAAACAATGATTAAAGTGAAAACAACTGACAAACTGACTCATTAGTGTTATTTCTATACTCTATACTTCTATTTCTGCTATTTTAAACTGTAGTATGTGCTTATGTGTTTCATTGTTGGTGTAGCCTACTGCCTGAATAAACGATACGATAATACTTTAAAGGTCCCATGTCATGGCCATTTCTACTGATCATAATTCCATTGTTTTCTGTTCTCTGATTATATAACATGTAATCCGTTATCCGCCTGCCTGGTTGTGGGTCAGCCTGTTGGACCACCTTCTCAATGCACACTTTGAAATGTAAAGCCACTCCTTCTTTGTCCTTGAGCAGTGGCTCAAGTTACTGCAGTGATTAGGGGGAGTAGTATATACCAGAGCAAGCCAAAAGGAAAACATATTTAGTAATGGAAAACTCTTCAGAGTGATATATGGTTAGAGCTTTCTTCATCAGTGTCTTTACATCTCACATTCAGGCCAAAAAGAGAGTGTTCTGCAGCAGCCGCTCACAGGAGAAGTATCAGGTTACATCACAGTCAAATGAACAGTGTCTGTCAGGAACACGTCAGTTAGCATACTTCTTGTCCCGCCCTCTTTTGTTTTACATACATTTCGCTCCCACCTTTTGACAGTAATGGCGCATTTCCACTACACGGCCTCGCTCGGTATGGCTAGGCCTCGTTAGGACTGGCTCACTTTATGGCGCATTTCCATTACAGTTTAGGAACTGGGGTAGTATCTATAGTAACGCAGTGTAGCGGAGCCGTGACGTCATCTTCAATGAGAACCCCAGAAAAACAACACAGCCGTTAGCTGTTAGCACTCAGAGCTCACAGCTCCTCATATATGTTCAGAAACTAGACAAAAGTTAATCAAGTACAAACCACAGACTGCCTGTGTCATGGCGAATACAGTCGCTGCTTTATTTATGTCTGTATAGGCCGTTGTTGTGAGTGTGGACGGTCGGAGCATATACTGCGTTAGCTTAGCCAATCTCCATTTAGAAAACAAGCATTTTAAAAGGTTTTTCGCCTGCCGTCTGTCTGCAGACTTGTCAAAGCATTAATTCATGGTTTTTACTAACCGGTATCAGTATGTTGTTACTTCGGCATCATTTTGAAACGTGTATTACAATTACGGTCAAATATGTCCATCTTGTTGTAGTTGTAGCCCCCTTGCCAGCGATTCTCTCTCTAGTTTAGCATACTCAGCCCGACTCAGCCTTGTTGTCTCTGGCCCTAGACCCACGATTTTATGAGGCCAGAAAAACTGTGAATTAGGACCCGCCGGCCGGTACTAGGCCAAGTGGAAACGCAACCAAAAACGGGCCGCTGACGTCACAGCCCTCTTAAACTGTGCTCCGCGCTGTAGTGGAAACGCGCCATAAGGCAGGGAGACAAGAGGTAAAAGAAGGGGAAAGTAGGGGGGAGTGAAGGTGTGTCTTTGGGATGAAAGGAATGCAAGGTCACAGAAGGAGTGGGGGTCACTGCCCTCTGCGGGGGCTGCAATCCTTCTCTGTGTGTCCTTCCCTTGGTTAGCAAAGAAACAGAAGAGTGTGTCATGGTCAGTGATTTGCCATGTCACTGGATCTACAAACAGTAATCCCCTCCATGTTGTTTAGGCAAGCCTGGGAAATAACGGTATACATAATAAGGATACAAAAATATATGTTGTACAACAAGTGATTATGTAACACAGCAAAACATATTTAGGTTGTCTTCTCTCCGTCTTTGGTGTTATAAGTTGTCTTTTGCAAGATACAGAAAAAATATAATGTAATCAGGCTTAGGTGTACTGAAATACATGTAACAGGATTACATAATCAGGACGCATAAAAGAGGTAACTGTATTCCTTTACAGTTACATAACAAAAAGACGTAATCAGATTTCGGAGCATTTTCTGTCAGCTCAGATTTTACTTTTGCTTTTTTAAACTGAAGTTATGTGCTCATGTGTTGCATTGTTGGTGTATAAGCTACTGCCTGAATATGCTTGATGAAAGGAAGGTTTTTCTATCAATACATTCTCTGAGCAGAGGACACACTTGATACTAAATATATTGGCTTCTTCTTTTTAGGTTTCCATTGTCATAATACACTTAAATGGGGCTTTCACACCAACGCGGTTCCATGGCCAGTTCGGAGCTAGAGCCTGAAAAGCACCGGTTTTTCCTGTTCACACCACAGCCTCTAAGCTCCGGAATCCGGTTTGTTTCAAGCACCAAAAAATTGTCGGTCTAGAAGCAAGAACCGCATACGTCACGCTTACGTTGGAGGGGGGCGAAATTAACCTGAGCTAACAGTTAAAGGCGAGTACGGCAAATAAAAGTTGTAACAAGCAGTAGCGCTGAGCAAAGTGACTAGAAGGCAACCACACACTTGTAAAAAAAAAAACACACTTTATAAAGTCAGGCAACACTAACCAGGCTTCGTGTGATTCTGTTTATTTGTACCTTACTTTGACCATCCGTTCGCTGTTATTGATCATTGTGGAGAGCAGGCAGACGTTTTGTTTGTTATTATAGCAGCTATCGGATGGAATCAATACATGGGCTGCACAGGTTGTCATGTCCGACTATCACAAAAGTAGAATCATAATGAAAAATACGCCGGTAAAATGTGCCTGTAGAAAACGGCTTATGCCGCAATAGGATAGAAACAACAAGTAGTAAAGATAGTTAGTTTAGCTTCGGTTGCTATGCTAACATCACCCATGTTATACCAGAGAAACTTTCATAACAGCGTTGTGATGCCAAACAGCGTCAATTCAGACTGACACACATTCACTTAAGGAGAACTGGGGATATGTATCAGCTGCTTGTGTGACAGTCAGACAGTGAATACTTTAGAGCCGTGTGAGCTAACCCGGAGCTAACGGGAGAATAAACTCCCGTGGAAGAGCAGCCAGCACTGCAGTGGTCGGTAAATGCCGCTGAAACACATTAATAAACAATGAACCACGGCACTCTGGAGAAAAGTATAAGGTTGGAGAAGTCGTTATTTAATTTAATCTGGCTTCGTATGATTAAAAGCAACACGATCATCGACCCGACGCAGTCCCCCGTTGTTGTTGTTGTGAGCGCCGTTGGGGAGCAAATCAGCGATGTAAACGGTGACGTCATGACGCAGCAGCGGCAGCAGCAGTCGGGCTCTGGACGGTGTGAACAAAACGGGGGCTGAAAAGAAAAACCGGTTCCGAACCAAAAAAGCTCTAGCACGGAGCTAGAACTGGAATCGCGTTGGTGTGAAAGCCCTAAAAGAGGACATTTTATGCTCATTTTCAGGTTGATCATGTTGTATCATGTGGGGACATGTCTCCATGCTTTAATGTTCAAAAAGCTCTTTATTCTTCTCATACTGCCTGTGCTGCAGCACCTCTTTTCACCCTCTGTCTGAAACCAGAGCCCAGTCTGCTCTGATTGGTTAGCTGGCCGGCTCTGTTGTGATTGGTCAACCGCTAAGAGATGCCCCCCCCCCCCCCCGCCTTAGCCTATTACGTACAATGTGTTGGAGAGCTAGCCAATAGAAGCACAACTGTTCCATAGCGATGTCACTATGTTACAGAAGTAAACATTGGAGTCCAATGGAAGCTTTTCAGACAGGGAGGGACACTCCCTGTTTTTGTATCATTTACATGCAAAAAAAAGCCATACAGTAGGCTATAACACACTACAGGGGATTTTGTATTAACTTGCATTGAATTTCATTCTGAGGTAATCCAAAATAATGAAAAGTAATCAGGATACATTACTTTTATATTGTGATATTTAGGTTAGGTTACTCATCACATTTTCTTTTACAGGTAAATTGTTTTTGTATGTTACCTAAGGAGCCATTGAGGAATATGCCCTATAACCTTTGGATAATGCTTATGTTTTCCCAGACTAAACATCTTGTTGACCGGTGAGGGGGAATGTCAGAACCCAGAGTCATGCTGAGGCCTTGGTTCCCAGCGCTGACACAGGGGCAAGAATGCAGAGTGGAGGAATGTTAGCAGAGAGAGTAACAAAGAGTAGTGTGACGCTGAGGGCCTGCATGGTCAGCTGGGGGGTTTGGCCCGGACCACCAACTTGTTTACATCCAGGACCGGGACAGAGAAAACATTTCTACATTTACTGCTGCTCTGAGTCTGCTGAGAATGAGCTATTATTTTGAAGAGTGGTTAGAATAAACAGAGAGATTGAAAGCTTGCATAAATAATGAGCAGTGTGTTATGGAAATTGTGGTATTAAAGGTGTTCTTTCAACTAATTCCATATTGAAACAGACAATTTCAGGTAGAAAACATCAATGTTAGTTTAAGCCAGCAGGGCAGAATGGAAGTATAAAGAAAATATTCCTCTGTGGGTTATGTAAGACCCTAAATATCACAGCAAAAATAACTACAAAACGTAATGATAAACAAGGCCTACACAAGCGAAAACAATGACAAAATATTTTTAAAGTCCCAAGGTAGGAATCCACAGGGAGCTAAATAACCACACAATACCAAAATAATTAAAATAAATAAAAAAGAAATGTCCTGTGAGTACATATACGGCCCCTTGTCCTATTGTAAAGCGTCCTTGGGTTTCTTGAAAGGCGCTATATAAATCCAAATTATTATTGTTATTTTATACAGATCACAACAATCTGCATACAATCAGTTTTAAAAATAAACTAAAAACGTTCAGGGTCACTTTTTTTTATTTCAGATTTGTATGATTGTAGTTAAAGATTATAACTTTGTGTAATCTGCTAGTTAAAGGGGACCTATCATGCAAAATGCACTTTTGTACGTCTTTTATACATGAATATGTGTCCCCGGTGTTCCAGGGAACTCACCAAGTGTCAGAAAACACAACCCTCTCTATTTTCCTCCATACCCAAATCTCTAAAAAAGGGGCCGCAACGGATCTGATAAAAACTGATCCAGATTTGAACACTGTCCTGACGTCAGGACGGTGGCGCTACGGCTATTGGGCCAACTCCACCAATCAGGAGGAGACAGCCACGGCCATTGCCGTTCGAAAGCGCTGGAAACGCTGTAGTACGCTGT